GGGTCGCGGTGATTCCTTAGCGGGGCGGCGGGAATTCAGAGCAAACCCCGAATGGATAGAAACCCGTGAATGACTCAGCCAGGAGGAACCACCTGCAACAACTCCCTCCTTCCTCACCATAGGAAACAGCGACTCAAAGGGAGGCAGTGACTTAGCTAAGTTATTTATAGGGCTCAGTGACGAGATCGGGAAGAAAGCTGGGGTTCCCTGGCTTGAGAGCACTCGGCTCCCCCCATTCAGCTTTGCGCTAAAGCAGGGAGGGAGCGCCATGCGCTGTGTCCCCACTTTGTGCGCATTTAGGTGCCCAGCCCTCCAGCTTTCCATCTTATGCAGAATCCTCGGAGCCACACTGCTGGGCTAGGTGCTACCAGGGCCATTTTATAGGTGAGAAGACTGAGGTTTTAGGGAGGCTGAGTAATTTGCTTTAGGTCGCTTTAAGTCACTGATCTATCATGGTGGGGCTGGAATTGGAACCCATTTTGGCTTCAGAATCCATGCTTTTTGGACTGTGGAGCGTCAGGCCTGGGCCAGATCTTCATAGCTGTAGAGCATCTATCTGGGTTGCAGGATAGCAGTGGGTTCAGGGCTGTCCACAGAGAGGCCAACCATTCTGCCTTAACAGATCTTTTGGAAACATAGACAGGGCCCCGTTGGATCAAGGGGCAGAAAGATCCAGTATTTTTTGAAGATACAACCTCTACATAGGGAAAGGAAATACATCTGGAGATTTAGAAGACTTTTTTTTTTCTTTTTATGAATACAAAACTCCCTCTTTAATTTTCTAACAGAGAGTTGTAAACTTAAGTTCAGATTTTCTTTATTAACTGTAAATGTTTGCAAGGCCAGCCTCGTGGGCTTGCAGCCTGTGACACGACCCAGGGTCCTGTGCTTGGTTTAATGCTTTTCTGTGGCTGGCTTGAAATTTTTAATAATTTTTCAATTTTTATTTTGCACTGGACCCTGTGAACTATGTATCTGATCCTGAATGTTTGCTTTTGTGCATGTCCTTTGGAAAGAACCTATTACTTTTTTCCATCAATTGAAAACTCCTGTTCTGAGTGACAGCCTCACTCGACATCTGGCTCTCAGAGAGCTCTAAATACCGTAGCGACCCTCTCATTTGACCAGGCCATGGTGACTAACCCAATAACCAGGGTCTTTCCTGATTGTTCCCTAGAGACAAAATTCTGACAGCCAAAGTCACAACAGTAGCAAACAGAGCGCGCAACGACAGGGGCGGCAGTGTCCACACATCTTTATCCAGCACCTCTCCTGTCCCAGGCCTGGCGCTAGAATCTGACGGTACAGCAGAGAGCAAACATGGATTAAGTCTGTTCTCCTGGAACTTAGAGCCTGGTGAAAGAGACAGCAATGAATGAAATCACACACACACGCTTCTCGTGAACTGTCACAAGGAAAAGCACAGGACGCGGAGTGTGTACAGACGTGAAGCCTGATCTAAGGGGAGGCCAGAGAAGGCGTCTCTGAGGGAGTGAACCCCCCGGGGCCTATGGGCCGTTCCACTCTTGGTGAGCAAGCTCATCGTGGCTTACAGCAAGGGATTTTTCATCCTTGGGTCTTATTTTACTTTTTTAGGAACTGAAGAGGTGCTATAAGACGCCACCCTTCACTTCAGTCAATGCTTCACTCTGATTAACCATAGTCGATAAATTTAAATGTTGACGCCCTGAAGGACATTTTATTTTTATTTATTTTAAGACATATCTTTATTGATTTCAGAGAGAGGAAAGGAGGGGGAGAGAGAGATAGAAACATCAATGATGAGACAGTCATTGATCGGCTGCCTAGCCCACAACCCGGGCATGTGCCCTGACTGGGCATCGAACCCTGATCTCCTGGATCTTAGGTGGATGCTCAACCGCTGGGCCACGCCCGGCCTGAAGAATATTTTAAAGAGGCTTGTATATCCTTTGTCCTCACTCCACCCCTGTCTAATAATAGAAATCCTTGGTCTGATAAACAATAGCTACCTGTTCTGGGCAATTGTGGGATTACCTGTAGGTTCCAAAACTGATCAGGACTTTGCTCATGTGTTTCTTTCACAAAAATCACCCCCCCCAAACACCTCTTTTTTGTTATCTAGCTAACATTTCTTATTCTTCAAAACATATCTCCAAACATTTATTACTTTTGAAATCTCCTTTCTTGACCCTGTTTGTCTGCTTTAAATTCTCAGACCATGTTCTCATGGCAACCTCTCCTAAGTAATCAATGAGGACGCTGCCTGGCCCCCCGCTGGTCCCTGCCGCGTGGTGTCTGCTCCTCTTGCCTCTTCAGCCCCTGGCACAATGCTTGTTAGTTAGCGAGATGGTGAAAGGTGGCGGCCTTTGTAGCCCCCTGAGCCTTCACGAAGCCTCGGCAGTTGTTACTCCAAGTGCCCGCGTGCACTGAATGGGGGATGACACCAGATGTTTCTAGAGAGCAGTGGGATTTAAAATTGCACATGCTCCTTGATAGTAAGGGTTTTGTCTCTGTTGGACTGAGAGGGTCTTAAGCAGAGTCGTGGCTGTCTGTGGGCGTGGGGTTCCTTGGTTTGCACAAGGTAAAAGTCTGTAATAAGGGCGTTAGGCTCACAGCTCTCGTCTGGGAATAGGAGTGGGCGTGGACAGGATGCTGCTGCGTCTGAGTGGGCGGGGAGGGCTGCTGGCGGCAGTGGGTGGCACTGTATTTGAGTAGGATGCCTTGAGGCTTGGGTCACGCACACTGCTGCTTTGGGACTAGAATCTGACCATGTGANTGAGGCTTGGGTCACGCACACTGCTGCTTTGGGACTAGAATCTGACCATGCCGGTTCTAAGTCCTGGAGGGATGAGAGCCCTCCCACGTTGTCATGAAGGCCAGCCCTGACCTGGTACTGAGGAGACATTGATGTGTTGATGGTGATGCCCGAGGGCAGTGGAGAGGACTGTTGTTCTTCATATACTGGAGCTCAGTGGATGGAAGACCAGCAAAGTGTTTGACAACTGATAAAGCACAGGCATCACTGAGCAGATGTTTCTCTTTTTCCTTTTTTTAATGTATTTTTGTTGATTTCAGAGAGAGGAAGGGAGAGGGAGAGAGAGATAGAAACATTAATGATGAAAGTCATTGATCGGCTGCCTCCTGCACGCTCCCTGTTGTGGATTGTGCCCGCAGCCCGGGCATGTGCCCTGATGGGGGATCGAACCATGATCTCCTGGATCGTAGGTCAGTGTTCAACCACTGAGCTGTGCCAGCTGGCCAGATGTTTACTTTTTCATGGCCCCATGAGCGATATCCCCTCAGGACTCGCAGTTATACTGGGGTTGAGACCTCACAGAAGACTGGAGGCCCTGCATTAGCAGCTGCAGAGACATTTGAGCTAAGATGACCTCATTCCTACTATAGGCCGTTGAAACCTGGAGAAATTCAAGTTGCAATTAATTATCCTAAGTCTTGAATTTGTTTAAGGACCCTATGACTTTTGTAGCTTCCTTTCATGGTCCATTTCACTCTGGTTGCTGGTTAACTATCAAGCCAGCTGAAGTGTGAGGCGTGCAGAAATTTATCTTCACCAGCTTGCACTGGAAGCTCCCCTTCCTGATTCATTTACTTGATCATTAATTGTAAAAAGGGCAAAGCCTTCCTCCTGATCACATACAACCGCTTTTCATAGTAACACTGCTCAACAGAGAGTGTGTGACGCTTTCAACCTTCTCCCATTGCTTTGCTCCAAATCTGGATAAAAGTTTCTCATAAATTTTCGTCCTTTGACTAGTCATTAGCATTTAACTTTACAAACTCTCTTTTATGAGTTCGGGGCAACCGTTTAAGAGGCACAAGATGCAGCCCACCCTGGCATTTTTGCTCCTCAGAAATGCCTGTTCTGTTCGCTCTCCCAGCTTTGGTACTTGTGGCCGTCCCCTGCATCTGAGGAACCCAGCCTATCCCCTTGGCCAGCTCTCCTCCGGTTTTGAACCTCAGTGCCCACAATCTGAAAACATCTTGTTTCTTTCTTTTCTCATTTAGTGTCTTTTAGAATATAAGCTTCATGAACTCAAGGGCCTTACTTTTTCTCTTCATCATATATCTTTGATGCTTAGGTGCTCATATAATAGGTCCTCTGTGAATATTTATTAAATGAATGAAAGAGAAAATGTCAGTGCTGGGGAGGAACTTATAGGTCTAAGGAAAAACTGTTTTGTAGAAGGTAAAGTTGAAACACACAGGTTAAGTACTTGTGCAAAGCCTGTTGATATAGGACACAATGAACCCATGTTTCTTTACTTGCTCACCAGTCCCCATGGTCATTGCTTTACTCAGCTTTGGAGCATATGGCCCGACTTCCAGCTGCACAAGTTTCTTTCCTGAGTTTTCAAATTTATTAGGATATTGTACATAGTATTTCTAAATACACTTTTCCAGAACAATAGGTTTATCATTAGTGAAGCAGTATTCAAAAAGAATACTAAAGAAATTAAAAATCTTCCCAAATCCCATAACCTCTTGTTAATAGCTACCAGCATTTTGATAAGCCTTCTTTTAGAAGCACATGCATCTATAAGTATATTTAAAATTTGTATACTTACATGAAAATGACCTCAGGAAACTAGGTGTTTTGTAACTTCCTTTCCTTTCAATAGTGTGTCATAGAGGTAGTTCTGTGTAAATAAATATAAGTGTACATTATTATTTTTTTTTCCAGTGTTTTCCACTATATAGACACACCATCATTTATTTATGTAGGGTTGCTTATGCTTTTTGCTAGGAACTGTTAGCGAACAATTAAAAACGCATTATCTCTTTTATTCCTGAGCACCAACCTGGTGAGGTACCGTCCTATTAGACCCATTTTGTAGATGAGGCCATCGGAAGCCTGAGCAGCTTTATGACCTCCCTAATGGGCTACGGAAAGTGCAAAGCAGAGAGCCCAGCCCCCATCGTCAGACTCCAAACCTCAGGCTCCTCTCAATGTCAGCAGACAGTAAACCTCTGAGTGATCCTTGCTGTAGAAGGAGCCTGCCCAGCATGGTCTGAGAACATGGGCAGGGGATGGATGAGGTCCACCACATGGGAAGGATGCTGGAGAAGGTCCCAGTGGAATTGGAAAGGTGTCTACAATTTTCTCCGGAAGGAATCTTGAGCAGAATATACAGTATCAGTACAGACATAGAGGTGTGTTTATGCAGGGGATGTTCAGGTTTGGTTCTTAAACACCACAGTTTCTTTTATTGTCTTTCTTTCATTTTTTTAAAATTGATTTTTAGAGAGACAGGAAGGGAAAGGGAGAGAGAGAGAAACATCAGTGTGAGAGTGAAACACCGATCGCTGCCTCCTGTACGCCCCCTGCTGGGGATCAAGCCCGCAACCTGGGTATGTGTCCTGACTGGGAATTGAACTGGTGACCTTTAGGTGCACTGGGTGATGCCCAACCAACTGAGCCACACTGGCCAGGGCCGATTTCTTTTAACGTTTACTGATATGTAGGCAATGCTTAAGCAAAAAAAAAAAAAAAAAGGGGGAAAGGCTGGAGCTGGAGAAATTCTTTGAGTAATAGTTTTAAGTACTTTTACAAATGGCTGTTGGGGAAGCTGGATCTCTGTCAGCCTGGGAGGGACAGTTCTGTTTAGTAAAAGAGGGATGAAAAAGCATCATGAGGATTTCTGGAGATTTAAATGGGTCACAGATTAAGAAAGGGCCGGCATGCAGAGAGTTCTGACAGACACACAGAATCTTCGTACCGGGCAGCGAGACGCAGAGATCTCTGGTTCCTTGAGAGACAGGAACCCTTTCTGTATATAGGGCCCTAAAATTCAAACACACCTGTCACCTGCACATTTATAATCTCTAAAGGATTATGAACGTCCAACTTGTTTGTCATGATGTATCTTCAATGACATCCCTAGAAGTGAGTAGTAGGACTGACTTTCTAAGGAGAGAACAGGAACTGGAGCCAAAACGGGGAATAGTTCCTGTTCTCTCTCTGAAAAGCCTTGCACTTACTTTGAAATGTGTTCCAAATGCACAGAGAGTCGTGCTGGGGACAAATGAATCTCAAAAATTCTCTTTACAGCGTTTTCCAGGGAGGGTTACATCACCGCTTTGTCCTTCTGACTTCTTTAACCCTCTGTGTTCTTCCAATGACTTGGCAGCC